CTATTTTATTCATTTATCGACATAATTGTTTTTTTTTTTTTTTCATTTGGTTATTGTCATTTATTTGTTTATTTATTTATTTATTTATTTTCATTTTGGCACTCTTAACTTTTGAGCCTGATAATGATTGTTGTTCTATCTTTCGATTGGTCGAGTTAAGTATTCTTTTGACTTTAGCTTGAAGTATTTCAAAATCAGCGTAGAAAAATAAGAACTGGACAAAATTTCACCATAAGTCACGATGCTGTTAGAGCAACTTAGGTATGGAAATTTTGTAAGGCAGCCTGAGAAAGGGCAAATTAAGTCACGTTACAAGCGATGACAAGTATAGCGATCCCCACCTAAGGCCAAACTAATTACAATAGGGTGCAGTAGAGGCACATATTATTGATTCGTTGCGAGAATGAAATGGCACAATTCAAACTAAGTTATATTACTGTCATATCATCATGGGTGACAAATAACTCCTTAATTTTGGAGAAAAATTTCAGCAATTTTCTTTTTATAATTTCACATTTGAAATTATAGAATCATATTGCCATGGCAAAGTTTGGCGAGAAATTTCTCAACACAGAGTAAATAAACAAGTCAGAAACTCAGAATTGCAAGCGTAATTTATCACCTATAATATTAAAAGGTAATCGAATGGTATAATAGAGAATTTAAGAAATAATGTCACGTGCGTTGTGTAAAAATTATAATAATTTCCCTCGCCTAATGGTCAGGAAAGTTAGTAGAATTTTGACAAAACGCGCGTAAAATTATTTCCTCATTTCACTCGTCACCGTGTGATTAACCATATTTTGAATAATTATTCTTTAATTCTAAATTATAGAGGGTGTATCAAGACGCAGTTGTTATACTAAGTGATCTCAMAGGTGGTAAGACGAGGTAAAGGGAACGGACATTGAGAGCTAATGCATGTATAAAGATGGACTGATAAAAACGCAAATATTTATTGTCACAATTTTTACAAATATTGAAGCGGATGTTTCAACAAAGAGATTTGTTATCTTAAATGACTGGATCATAAAGTAATATATTTTTTTATGATTTGACATATTTTGACAATTACTCTTTGTTTACAATTAACAGGATCACGAAACCACATTGGAAGTAACAACAGTCGATTTTTGATTAAAAAGAAAAAAAAAAAAACTAAATCACCCAGTGTTTCATAGCCAGGGAAAAGCGTTTCAATGAGTTGTAAAGATGTGAAATGAGCTCATGTAGTTTCATTTTTTTTTTCTGTCAAAATGAAATAAAAACATTGTTAAAATATTCAATCATGAAATTATTCAGCGAGTTTTTGTGGGATTCGAGTATTTTGAAAATAGCCATGTCATAATTATCAGATGAGCTCAGGTGATATTGTTTTAATATAAAGGCAGGAATTCAGAAATTGCCTTATTAAGACTTTGGTCGTCAAAACAAGAGGAAAAGCATGACTGAAGTAATTAAATTTAATGGTGTCATGATTACTTTTTTGGCTATCCAGGTTGGAATCAATTCTTGGAGTTGTACGTTCTTTTTGCCTTTTTACATATATACTTTGAGACTATTAGAGTTTTTTCCATTAGTTTGACAATGGTCGCTTTATCTTAGCTCGAGC